GAGGAGGAAGCAATAATGCTTTGATACCATGTAAAAGTTTGGATTGGAAGGGAAGCAAAAGAGACAGAACACTGCCGAAGATTGCTAACAAAGAAAAGACTTGACAATAATAGCAAATGTTACTAAAGAATGTCAAGAACAGATAGAGAGAAAAGAATACTTTTTGTATTACTTGTATATTTGTAATGTTTACAACAACCTATTTATACAATGGTTGTAAGTGTAATAAAGGAAATACAATAATACAGTAATGGAAATACAATAAAATCTTAATTACAAAATATTATAGCAATCAATCAATTAGCACATTATCAGTAATTGATTAATTCCAGCATGAATATCTTTAGCATTCCATATTTCATCATTTTTCTCTTACACCTGCTCATCATGTTCATTATCATATCCTTAAGGGTGCGGTTGCATCTTTCAGCTACACCATTCTGTTCAAGAGTCTCATGCATTGTGTACTAAGGGACAATTCCACAATCTTGTAAGAATTTGGCAAATAATCCATCTGTTATCCTACATCATTGTGTTTGCCATAATACTTTCCACTCGATTAGATCTTATCACCTTGATGACTTTCCCAGTTTGTTTCTCAACTTTAGTCTTGAAAATTTTAAACTTCTTAATAGCACTTGACTTCTCCTTAATCAGAAAGACGTAACCATATCGGGAAAAATATCAATGAATGTGACAAAATATCTATTACTGCATAAGATGGTTGAGTATGGTCCACTAACATCTGTGTAAATGATTTGAGTAGTAGGAAAAATGGTAAATTACGATACCCACTAATAATTGCACAACTTGCATGTATCCTCTGTCAAGCTAAGGTAAGCTCACGAGTCGCTCGAGTCGAGTATTAGGAAGCTCAAATGCAGCTTGACTTGACCTCGAGCCGAGCCCGAGCTACTCGCAAGTGGCTAAGCTCGCTTGACACCTCTATCCACCACTCGTTATCATGTTATTTTCTTATTCTCATCCCTTGTATGGGTTTTCTACAACTCCAAGGACGGACCCAAAATGTATTGTTATAGGGGGCAAGTACTAAGTACTATTCAATGGCATGAGTCAAGAAATGAAAAATAATGGTTTTGGAATAATAGAAAAGGGGAATGGAACTTATAAGAAGCACCTTGAGAGAAAAGAGAAGGATGTGTTTAATGAAAAAGAGTTGAGAGTTGGTTCTGTTTTTAGGCGAGTGAGATTAATTAGCAAAGTGAATTATACAAAATTAGAAAATAAAATAGGACATCTACAATGAGAAATTAGTGAAAAAAATTGTTCAATAAAAAAAAATGTTGATTCTACCTTTAGACGAGTGGAATGGGTCGATTTGCAAAATAAGTTATACGAAATTAGAAAAAAAAAAAAAAATTGAGTGGGGTCAAATCCCCCACTCATGTCTAGGGGTGAGCACGGATAATAGGTAGAACCGGAACCTACCCAGAATCGACACTGTGTAGGTAGGTTTCGGTTCTGGTTCTTACATGTGGAGGAACCGAAACCGGAATCGAAACCTGAAAAAAATAACCTGTAGCGGGTACCCAGCTTGGAACTTACAGCGGGTACCTAGCTTGGAACCTGGGCTAAAATAATGGGGGGTCTATTGTAATTTTACATATAAAAAAATTAAAATGGAAAAAGTTAAATTTTTACAATAACCTAATTAAATAAATATACAATTATACTTATTACATATAAACTACACCATATAAAAAACTTTAATATATTATAATATATGAATATTAAAGTTTTGATTAATTAAGTGTATAATTGAATTAAAACCAATTAAAAATATTTTAATGTTACTAAAAGAATTATTTTTTAATATAATAGTATATTTAATTGAATAATAATATAATATTTAGTTATTTATTTCAATTATCAAGTTTTAAGTATATTTGTAATAAATTAGTAATTAATTAATTATATAAAATAAATTGATAAACATTAATACATTACTAGATAAATGATTACTTAATCAATTATAACATTACGTTATAGTTAAATGATTACTTAATTAATTATAAGTTTATAACATTATATTAGTAATTTAGTACATTACTTAATTAAATAATTAGAAATTTAATTAATTATAACATTATATTATAGATTTATAGTATAATTACTTAATTAATTATAACATTACATTATAAACAAATATTTATTTAATTAAATGATTACTTAATTAATTATAACATTCCATTATAAACATTAATACAATACTTAATTAAACGAAAAAAAATTTAATTAATTAGAATATTACATTAAAGATTTATAGTATGATTACTTAATTCATTATAACATTACATTATAGTATGATCACATAATTAATTATAATATTACATAATGAAATGATTATTTAACGAATTACGACATTATATTATAAACATTAGTAATTTACTATATTAGTACAATACTTAATTAAATAATTAGAAATTTAATTAATTATAACATTATATTATAAATTTATAGTATGATTACTTAATTAATTATAATATTCTATTATAAACATCAGTACAATACTTAATTAAATGATTAGAAATTTAATTAATTATAATATTATATTAAAGATTTATAGTATGATTACTTAATTTATTATAACTTTACATTATATTATAGTATGATCACATAATTAATTATAACATTATATAATGAAATGATTACTTAATTTATTACGATATTATATTATAAACATTAGTTATTTATTACATTAGCCTAATACATAATTCAATTATTATAAATTTAATTAATTATAGCATTACATTATAAATTTATAGTATGTTTACTGAATTAAATGATTAAAAATTTAATTAATTAAAACGTTATATTATAATTAAATAATTACTTAATTGATAATAACATTATATTATATTATAATCACTTAATTAATTATAACATTATATTATAGATTTATGGTATAATTACTTAATTAATTATAATATTCTATTATAAACATTAGTACAATACTTAATTAAATGATTAAAAATTTAATTAATTATAATATTAAAATATAGATTTATAGTATGATTGTTTAATTAATTGTTTGTGTTTTGGTTTTGATTGAGAAATTTTATGTGAATTGTGATGAATTAATTGAATTCAAGTGTTGCCTAGAAATTAAAGAATTTATGAGTCGCATTGGACACAAATGAAGGAGTAGTAAAAAATTGTTAGGGGTGTATTTATAAACTTTTAAAATATTTTTGTCATTTTTAAACTAATAGAGGGTAATTGATTTTTTACAGGGTACCCGGGAAAGGAACCGAAACCTGTATTTTAGGTTCCGGTTCCTTGAATTTAAGAACATGTATTGTACGGTTCCAGTTCCGGTTCCTTTTTTTGGGAACCTGCACTGTGCGGTTCCGGTTCTCCTGAAAAATATAGGATACTCGGAACCGCTCACCCCTACTCATGTCTTCCTGGGTTTGTCTCGTAATGGAATTGGGAAAGGAATAACTATAGGAAATGAGATTTCTTTATTTCCTTCCTGGTTTAGCAAGGAATGCTCATTCTCTGAAAGTGAGGAATCCCATTCCTCCCAAAATTTGGGAGGGATGGGCATTCGAGGTCGAGGAACAATGTCTAGGTAGAAATATTCACTTTATCCCTGTTTCAATTTTTTTTTTTTTTTTTTCCATTTTTTCTCTAATGTAATTTGTTTAAATTTTGATTATTTTATGATTTAATATTAGTAAATTAAAAGATTTTAAAAAATTCATTTACTATTTGTCCTCACCACCATCATCACCATTGTTGACACCACCACTGCTACTACCACCATTCTAGAAACCGTAATCTTCCGGATGTTGACGTGAACGACGATTGTTCGATTTTCATATTTTTGAATTTTTTATTTAAACAAAAAAGAATGCTTTTGCATTTATTAAATAAAATAATACTATAGTAGTTTTATTCATAACAATTAATTTAAATATAAATATTTTATGAAATATTTAAAAATTATGGAATGAGTTTTCTCTAATTAAATTTCAATGGATTTCATTGTGTGATAAAATATACATATTTAATCATTTAAATTTAAGGGTATTTTTATCCAAACAATCACAAATTTTATTCCATTATATCAAATTCCTTTTTACAAGTAAATAATGTAATCCTATTTCATTCCTTCATACATTTTTATTCTTATTTTACAAGTAAATAATGTAATCATATTCCATTCCTTCATATCACAATTTTTTTTTTAATCTATAGGTGGTTTTAAAGTAATTTCAATTAAGGATAAAATTTTAATACATGAATCATAATGATGTTTATTAGATAAAAGATTAGGGGTGAATAGTTCTTAAAATACAAAAGGGAAAATATTATTTTTGAAATAATAATAAAAGGTTTATGATAAGTGTAAGTATAATCATAATTTTTATTTTGTCATGATTTATGCAAAGAATAATTTGTGGGATAATATAATAATAAATGGGACATCAATAGCATAACTTTAGAAACTTATTTCAAAACTCTCTCTTACAGTTCATCATATTATCTAATCTTACTATATAATTTCATATTATTTAATCCAATAATATAATAAAGTCGAATTTTAAATTTCTCTGTATCATGTTAATATTTGAAAGAAGCTGGTATTTGTGTGTTATGGATGTAGTATAAATGTTAAGTTTTCTAGTATTCAACTGTCACTGACAAAACTCTTCTAAGAATTCTCTTACTTTACATGATCTTTTTCTGAGAAGACATTCTATGAAAAACATGTCCTTAGGTAAGAGTTGATGGGGAGAAATAAATGAATACAAATTTTGTAGAAAATGATAGATTAATTGCAGGTTGAAATTTTTTCCATAGCTGTATTATGAACAGACAGCACAACGATATCAAAAGCAAAGCCAGAGTAATTTACAATAGGCTTACATCTTTGTATCCTAAAACTTGTATCAATTTACAAATTCCTACAAATACATGCAACATCACTAATTCATCAAGAACAAACTAATTGCATTTTTTTTTCTTTTTCATTTTTCTCTTTTCTTTGATCCTACTTTTTGCCCCAACTACACAAGACATGAAACATAAATGTAGTGCAAAAGCAGAATCTTGAAAAAGAACATGGCATGCATATTTTGGGGCAGAGCTTAATATGGAAAGATGTTATGTAAAATAAAAATGGCATCACTGAGAGATGCATTAAAAGAGAAATCTAATTCCTGATCTTTGCAGCTCAAGTATATATTTTGTCAATATGCTTACCCTGTAATGATTCATGTAAACTCAAGGAACAGATCTGCATCTACCCTGTATCCCAATTCTTCGTATTTCTTTCAGCTGACGAGCGATTTCTTGAATAAATGACAGCCCCTCATTCCCATTCTGAAGAAAGTTAAAAGTACGCTCAAGAAAGTTGCAATCATCCTTAAGTGCTTTCAACCGGTCACTGAGGTCTGAAATTTCATTTTCATGAGCAACCAAATCATTTTCTCTACAACGAGTGAAGTCTTGTTTCCCATTTGAAACCAAGCTGTTTCCTCTACTAATAACTTGATCTTCACCAAGTAAAGCATTCAATCTTTCTTGAGCAGGAATGCTCTCATTAGATACAGGCAAATCTTTTTTCATTGACAAACCCTTCTTTTGTGTCCAACAACTTAATGAATTCCCCTCATCATCAAGATGTTTTCCTTGATTGTGCTCAACGTTTGCTGCTGCTTCAGAATATGGACCGTCAGACAGGTCATGCACAATCCCCTCATGAGCAAACATATGAAATTTCCTCTCCAAGCTATCCAAAAATTGCAGAATGTGTAATTTTTCATCTACAAACTCTGACCATGAAATTGTGTCGATATCAGGTTTATCTCTGTCTTTAGAGACCTCAGAGTGCATTGAGTTACAAGGTACTAAGTTGGCATTACCATTAATATGGTTCAAACTCAAATTCTCTCCATTCACATTTTCCTTTTTTAAATTATGATTCTCCACCTGTATAGTCCGCATCATTGGCTCATTTAGGTAACTTAACCGATAATATTCAAGATCTGCTTCCAAATCTTGTATTTCCTTATCCTTTTCAGCCAGGAGAGTATTAGCTTTCTCCAATTCCTCGAGATCATACTCTGCTTGTTCTTCCATCATTCTTAAGTACTGTAGAGCATCCATTTGGAGGGCTGCCTTCTCCTCTTGCAACCTAGTAATCATGGCCATTGCCTGATTTGCAGCGACCGCTGAAGCACTTCTTTCTTCATCCAATTCTTTATACAAAGCATTCATGCATTTACGATCATATTCAACCTGCCTCTTTAACCGATCAATAGTACTTTCACCTTCGATTTCACTAACAGTACTTCCATCCAATGATTCAAGACTAGTAGACTCAGTTCTCTCTGCCAAAATGGACTTCTGAACAGTTTGAATTCCATTAGAGCTAGAAGTATCAGTCATCTGGAATTCATCACCACAACCTTGCACATTGTTACTCATATTTTTCACTGGTAAATTAATCCCTTCAGCAGATGACAGCTTCAGATTTTGAGCATCTCTATCATGTTCCTCAATTGATTTTAGTGCAACAAGTCCAGTTGTTGCTCTTTCCTCACCATTGACAGCCTTCTTACAGACATCACCCCGATCCTCAGAAGTTGGACTTACAGGAGCAAGGTTACTCAAAACCTGATCATTTTTAGTACCCACTCCAGCTGTTGTATATAGCAACTTCAATATTTCCTCATGAGGGTTGATGGGAACATGTTGAGTATTGGTTGTTCTGGTAACATTTGCTGCAAAAAACCGTTTTAGCTAAAAGGACCAGTCATATAACACGTACATAGAGATAAAGAGCAGAGAGAGTGAGCTTACCCTTCCTTGGTGGTACTTCAACAGGAACATTTGCAGCCTCATAAGATGGGTTCATATCAACTAGAGATACAGGGTCAGCAATTGCAGCAGGATTGATGCTCTGACTGATTGGTGATATTCCAGTGGGAACTTCGGAAGTGTTAGATGGTGGGAAAATATCATCTAGTGAAATAAGCTCTGGCAGCGGATTAGAATACGTTTTCTGATGAGAATGCTGCCAGTTAAACTCAGCCAGGTCATGCCAACTAGACACATTAGAAGTCAAACATTTTATATCATGGGGTTTGCCAGCATCATCCTTTGCCTCATTTGTATCACGAATTACACTATTACCATCATCATGATCGGGGGATAAGAACTCTGACTCCAAATTGGAAGCGATTTTCAGCTCACTGGATTGAATCTGAGATAAAGAATCAGAACAACTTCTTCCGACAAGACAAGATCCAATGGATTGTCCAGAAAATTTTCCCCTCGTTTTCTTCATGCCATCCTGGCGGCTTAAACATGGCACAGAAGGATTAGGTTTAGCTGCCCTGGTTCCAGGTGATTTTAGCTGGGGTAGCCTTGGCAAGTTTTGTCTTGACTTCCAAGGCTTATTGCAGCATGAACACAAGCTCTTGCTCCTAGAACTAGGAATAAAATCCTTGTTTGGATTTGAGCTTGGAGAACCACAACCAACAAGATCAAACCCCAATTTTCCAAAAAGTAGCCTGTGCATATCTAGGTTGGAATTATTTTTTGTGGAGAAGGACAAGAGACAATCATCACACATTGCACAGCCATCTCCAAGCTTACCATGCTTATGGCAACAAATTAAAGATGATATCTCCAATCTGTGATTGCTGCAAATAAGATTCCGATAAAATTCAGGCCTCTCATTGCCCAACACATGATCAAGCCTGGAGCACAAAATGCAAGGTGATTGCAATTTGCAATAACCCGCAAATTTTGTCAACAGAAATGAGTAGACAGCTTCAATAAGCAGCAGAAAAATCAAGACCCATTCACAAGCTGTAGATGTAAGTATTGTCGTAAACCCTTGCATATTCCTCTGTGCTTTAACGTATGACATCCCTTTTGCAGCCATTACCACCAAAATCAATCTAGTAGACCATAAGTTTCCTATTTGGTTGAACAAAGAAAATCTTTACTCGATCAGAAACGTAGATGTTCCAGACCTCCCACTGCAAAGTGGAGAATCGCATCCTCATTCTACCAGCAAGCTGCTACACGTTGAGAAAAAAATAAAAATAAATCATTCAGTAATTGGAAAATTGGAAAAAAAAATAATAATAAATACTGTGTGCTTTTAGACAACAGAGAGGACCAAGAGACATCCAATTTTCAAAACTTATGATAGATTCAACTAACTAGGAAAACAAATTCAAATTCAATTAACCTTCACAGATATTGACAAATAGACATATTTGATTCTTTTTTCCAGGAAAAATGAAAAAACATATAAAAAAAAAAAAAGGTACAAAAACAGGTAGGTTAAACCCAAATCTAAAAATTTCTAATCAATAAAGAGCCGAATGTTTAGTATCAACCAACAAAATGGCATATTAACAATCATGAATAAAACCAGAAGTAGAACTTCAACCAACCCAACAGTGAAAGAGAAAATCCACAACCTAACTCATTAAAGTTACAAACCAAACCCAGATTTAATGCGCATTACAAGATCCATTATCCAAACCAGAACAATCCATTTCTCTACCCATATAAACAGAGCCAAAATGTCATCAAATTCACCCAAAAAAAAAAAAAAAACCCACAATGCACGCTGCAATTATAAATAAACAAAAAGGCTTAAAACTTGACAATGTAATAGAAAAAAGGAGAAATTTTTACCTGGTTCTCAGCAACTTTATGGTGGATCAAATGGGATGAAGAAGAGAATGAAAAATGATGAGAAGTCGTTGTCCGGGAAATGACAGACCGTTGAAACCAACTATTTGATTTTTGTGGGTCGCCAAATAAAGGAAAATTTATCTTTTTTTTTTTTTAACAAAATAGTGAAAATATAAAACAATACATGTGGTATGTTTAACTTTCAATTATCACTTATTTATTTCTCCATATCTAATTCTTCCATCTATTTACTCTACACCATTTAAGTTGCATTATAATATAATAATAATTTAATAAAGAAATTACAGGATTAAATACCCATTTAAATAAAAACTATTCATTCAATAAGTTAATAATTAATATCAATAAGGAAATATTGATTATAAATTCCGAAGCTTTGTAGTTGTGGAGGGTAAATCTTTTCTTTTTCAATTCAATCATTGGGCCATAGCCCATGGATCTAGACAATATGAAATCTAGAACAACAATCCGCAATACATATTTCAGGTCGAATTAGACCCGACTTGACCCGATCATACCTTTCCTCTACTCTGCCTATCTCTGACTGAACCGAAACCGATACTAAACTAAAACGACCCATCAAATCTCTGAAACATCCCAGATTCTGTAACTCGTAAAAATCAAATCTTTTATATGAAGGGTCTCCTCCGCTCTTTCCATGTAAAATGAATAAGAAAAAAATCGATGCTTTCTCAAGCTTGTTGCTTCATTCTTGTTTAATTTCTTGTGTTGTTTATTTGATAAGTCAGAATGTGTTTTTGATTTTTTTTTTTTTTTTTTCCGCAGAGGCTCGGAGGTGTTAGATTTTATGCCGTGTTTGGCAGCAAGGACTTGAAGATAGATGGGGTTAAGGATGTTATAGCTGTTGCTTCTGGGAAAGGCGGTGTTGGCAAATCCACCACTGCAGGTATTTCCAACATTTTTTAATTAAAATTATTTATTTTTATCTCTTTGAGCATGACGGGTTTAGTTAATGTTACTTAATAACATGAATGAATGATTATTGTAGAAATTAGTTGAAATAAACTAATTCTGTAGCATTGTTGTTTGGATTTGTGCAGTTAATTTGGCTGTTGCGCTTGCTAACAAGTGTCAATTAAAGGTGGGTTTACTTGATGCCGATGTGTATGGACCTTCGGTTCCGATCATGATGAATATCCATCAAAAGCCTGAAGTCACTGAAGGTGACACATTTGTGTTTTTTTTCAACGTGATTAAATTCAGTTGCTTTCAGTTGTAATTGATTGTTTAGGATGTGTGTTAGTCAGCAGCTAACCTCAGTAGGGAAATTAATGATGAATATATTGCTCTTAATTTGCCACAAATGTAGTTGCTATTGTAAGCTGCATCTGGAAATGGATGAAATTTTGTTCTTAGCGTGTATGAGTTCTTAAAAACAAAAATAGCAATAAACGATCGTTTACTTTTTTGAATGGTGTTTGGGTTTGCATTGGTATTCTCAATCTTCAAAAGTTCTTCAATTAATGGTGTCCAACTTTGGTGGTTGAAATCTTCAATAAATTGGTTTAGATATCTCTCATCTATAGTAGTTTCAGTATTCTTGCCAAGGTGGATTTCTCTGTCATTTAATAAAAGTATGAAATCTTGGATTACTAATTGCTGGAATACTTGGCAATTTGGATCATTCAAGAAAAAAGTATTTTAGAAAAATTCAAGAATTAGAGGAACTAGATATGAGGAAGAAGCTGCTTAACACATTCTCATTACTTCAAATGATTATCTAATTTTATCGATCTTCTATTTCAATAAAATGGACCATATATTCCTAGCAAAAAATAGAATGGATCTCATAGAGTAGAATTGTTAAAACATTCAATTTTTTATACAAGATCTTATATAATAGGTAGGAACTTTTGTTATCAAATTACCCATAATGCATAACTTTTCTTAATGTGTTCATATGCTGCGTCATAATATGTATTGGAGCTCCTATAAAAAAAAATATAATAAGTATGTGAGGAACACTTAGTCAAACAGTGAGCCTTGTAGAATATTGGTCTTTCTCAAAGTTAGTAGAGGCATTAGAACCACTATTTTAAAACTAAAGGTTAGTTTAATCTTACCTTGGTTTTCAACCTCTGCTTTTTTCTCTCTTTCTCCATGCACGAGTGATTGAAAACAACATGCTTTGGATAATGAGTTTAAGTCTTTTCCTCCTTCTGTAATACTTCAACTATAGTAAACAATAATTACACACATTTTTGATGGAAAGTTTTTGGCTTATGGTTGCACAATATTCTACAAGATACTTTTATTTTTTAATTGTCATTTATTTTTTTGCTATGAAACGAGAAAATATAGTTGTCCACAAAAAGGACAAGCACTGCTAAGCAACCAAAAGGACTCCAAAAACTGGAAAGAAAAAAAAAAGTTTAATTCGGCCCTAATCGTAGGAACATATATAGCCCCTATACTGAACTCAAAAACTTCCCAAATTAGGTTATCAAAGCTTACCAGTTATGTTGAATAAAGAAGAGACTTCCTAAAGCTCAAAAGAAACAGACATCCATTGAGAAGCCCAAAAGTTTAGTCTGTCCCACAATGAAGAAGCTACCGCCTGCAAAATCTTCAAAAATATAATTTCGGTCAAGCCTTTTATTTTTTTTGGGTTTACAATTATATAAAATTATGATGCTAGTGTACTCTTAGCTTCATTTCACATGAGCTGAAGATTTTAAACATTATGTGTTCCATTTGGGATTAAATTTAATATGGCTACTTAATTAGTGGTTTTATGATGCTTATTTTTTCTCCTCTTGCTTGAAGATATGAAGATGGTTCCAATTGAAAATCATGGTGTTAAGTGTATGTCAATGGGATTTCTTGTGCCGGAAAACAGCCCAATTGTGTGGAGAGCTCCCATGGTATGTCTACTTGTCGTCCAAGGATCTAGTCAATTACATGCTAATTGTTCCGTGTGTGCTGTTTTGCAAAATATGGTGTTTGACATTGATGATGAAAAATTATAATCCTAATTATTGGATTTCTCTGTATCTCACAGTTTGACTCTGCTGTAATAGCTGTTTGCTGTTCATCAGTTTACTATATGCAGTTACATAGTCTATAACTGATTGTTTATGGCAAGACTGTGCTGTCTTCTTCTCATTTATACATATTGATTTTTCCGGAAATTGAATTCACTATATGCTTGCAGGTAATGAGTGCTCTTCGTAAAATGTCAAAGGATGTTGATTGGGGAAATCTTGACATTCTTGTGATAGATATGCCCCCCGGAACTGGTGATGCTCAGTTAACTACAACGCAGACACTGCAATTATCAGGTTGATAAAATGAAAACATTCTTTTTTGCTTTGCTGATGTCTGCATTTTATGGACTTGTATAGGCTTGGAATTACACAGTAGTTGTTGAAAGATACTGATGTCCTTTCATTATATAAATGTATTTTTCTGCTGGCTTTTTTTTGGAAGAAGTGGTTTCACCTCACACACTGCACTATGATTAGAAAGTTGCTCAGCAACTGTTTTTAACTAAATTGACAGTGTTAAGCTTTCACTCAGTATTAAACTTACATTACTGTGCTTAACTGTAACTTCTTGCTTGTGATTTATGGAATTACTATTCAGCTATTTTCTCATTCTTGGAAACTAGCATTTTCAATTGTACTAACATGGGATTTGAAATGATATGTAAAACTATTGTAGATCCTCTGTTTTTTTTTTTTTTTTTTTTTTTTTTTTTTTTTTTTTTTTTTTTTTTTTTTTTTTTTTTTGTAATGCCAAGTTCTGATTATTAAAGCAACTTCATGCCTTTTTTAGCGCAAATTGAAAAAAAATCCAATTTTTTAAAATCGTTTAGTCATTTGTGTTTTTCTTCTCGTATGCAAAATATAAAGTATTAAGTCATACTATCTTTCTTCTTGTATACCCCGAGAAAGAAAAAATGTAAAAAGATGGTTTTAGGTTTTTCTGTTTTCAAGGGGTAGTTCTGCTTAAATAAAATTGTGAATTGGTGTTTTATGACTTTTCGGTTGGCTGCAGGTGCAGTGATTGTCTCAACTCCACAAGATGTTGCATTAATAGATGCTCGTAGAGGAATTGCAATGTTCTCTAAAGTTTCAGTTCCTGTATGTTTTTTTCTTGTGCAAATCTCTCGTATTGGTTGCAACGTGTTGAAAATTTTGCATGGTTCATCAGTTCAGTTTTGTGAAATATTCATTTAGATGAATCATATGATTGGATAAATTCAAATTCATATAAATTTTGAAGGGTGCAAGGTTTAATTATTAAAATTTGAGATTTGTAGTTTGTCTGAACTTTCTTACTTGAAATGAAGTAAATGCTGCTTGTAATTACCCATTCTTCTTTTTCTACTTTTAATGAAGATTGTGATTGCTTTTACAGATATTGGGGCTGATAGAAAACATGAGCTGCTTTGTATGTCCACACTGTAGTGAGCCTTCCTTCATTTTTGGGAAGGGAGGAACTCGAAGGACAGCTACTGAAATGGGTCTGAAAGTTATTGGTGAGGTATATCAATTTTCTATCTTTTATGTTTCTTTGCTTTTTTTTCTTTTAATTGTCTAGGGTGCCAGGATTGAGATTAGGGGTAGGTGTTGTTTATGAATTGAATACTTAATATCATTTAAATGCAAACATAGCTTGTAGATATGGACCTAGATTAAAGATGATACAAGTTCATCAGCTCAGGAAAATGAGAGGATAGTTGTATACCTACTCCAGGTACCTAGAAATGAAAAATTGAGAGATATAATAAATACAAAAAAGTAGCTGACTTTGGAGCTGATAAATGGTAGATACTCATCACTCTATGCGATTTTCAAAATTTTTGGATTGTCTACTTGTTGAATAGATGGAGGAAAGAACAGCCTTATGCTTAGATCGAGCAAAATTCCTGATTTTTCATGGTCTTATTTACAGCCAAATTCATTATTAAGGGTTGTCTTAAATTTATTTGTTTACTGCCTTCATGCACATGATGCAATGCAATTGAAGTATACAATGGCAGGCTAGATGTGGTACAATGGTACATTAATATGTTCTCACTGTTTCAGATACCACTAGAAATGGATATCCGAAAAGGTTCAGATGATGGTGTACCTGTAGTAATATCAGCACCTGATTCTATTGTCTCTAAAGCATACAGTGAAGTGGCTGTTAATGTGGTCAGAAGACTCGAGGAAGTGGCGCAAGAACAATAACTTCAATCCGGAAACTAATTCTGTGCGGCGCCTCACTTATTCCGTTGAGCCATACTAGCAGATATACTTGGTCAAGGTTTTATAGCCTCACTAACCTCTAAATTACGGATGCAATTTTGAATCTTTTTCACTATAGAAGAGAGCAGCACAGTTGTTAGAATATCAACTTTGATGTCTTAAGGTGTAGGAGAACATGGAATGCAGTCAATGGTTGCAGCCCGCTGGCATTGTTCCATTACATACTGCTTATGTTGCAGCCAACTGCTATTACAGGTGAAAGTTTATGTAAAGAACAGAGCTGTACATGCTTCTCATTGGACAGTCATAATTTATAGTTGCAGTGTTTGTTGAGTCAAATTATGCAGCTTCAACTTGGTTGCATTTGATCATAATGAAAGAATATATTCTTTAATGATAAAAGAATTTCTGTAATATTCATAACATACACCTCTCAAAGTGGATGCATTTTCTTATTGTTTCAGATTCCAATTTATATGGTCAATAAAACAGTCCCAAAGCCAAAAGTAGTCAGTCAATTCAAGACTCATTTCATCCTTATGGTAAAAGTCGGGAGTATATTGTACTTATTTTTAGTACTAGTGGAATAGGATGCAAGCAATTTAGTGAAACTTTTCTATAAAAAGCCATACCCCTATTTTCTTAAGAGTAAATTATACCAACAATTATTTGTCATAAATTTTCTTTCACAATCCTGACGTGACAGTTCGCAATTGGTTAGTTTGAAATTAATTAGTATGACCCATGTGGGNTGTGCAGTAGTTAACATCTATCTCTCTTTGGATCCTTTTTGTTTGTCTACCCTTTTGCCGTGTATAAAAACATGAAAAGAGAAAGCCTATCTTCCTTTTTGGCGATTATCTTATTACTAATTCCATCACTTGCTCTCTTCCACGCAAATTTTTGATTCTCAATGCTCTTTATTTTGCTCATTCTTTCGAGGACACTGTTAAAGTTTACACTACAATCCAACTTGTGTGCTAGAGAGAAGTGAACAGCAATGACAGATTAAAACCATTCATGTGCGGCAAAGGGCTTTGTGTGCAGCAAATTAAAACCATTCGTGTGCAGCAGCAAGAGAATTGTGTGCTAGAGAGAAGTGAACAGCAATGATAGATTTGAGAGTTTGTGTGCTAGAGAGAATCTACAGCAGCGATAGATTTCTAAAAGGGAGTGGAATGGGGTTTTTTGGGGATACAAGTTTTAAACCAGTGAAAACACCCCGATTTGGGGTGTTTTATAAACCCCTTCAAAATACACTACACTGGTTTTGGGGGGTTTTTAAACCCCTCAAAACCAGCCTATTAAAAATCTGGCAAGCGGAGGTTTTTAAACACCTCAAAACTAGTTTAATTAAAAACCCCCCAAAACCAATGAAAAAAAACTCCCAAGCAGACCCTTATAGTAAAAGTCGGGAGTATATTGTACTTAATTTTAGTACTAGTGGAATAGGATGCAAGCAATTTAGTGAAACTTTTCTATAAAAAGCCACACCCCTATTTTCTTAAGAGTAAACTATACCAGCAACTGTCACAAACTTTCTCTTACAACCTTGACGTGACAGTTTATAATTAGTCAGTTTGATAAGACTCATATGGAACCTATGTGAGATTTGTTATGAACTGATCAATTACAAGTTATCACATTAAGATTGTTAGAGAAAATTTTTGAGAGAGGATTGTTAATGTAGTATTATTCATTCTCTTATTTATAAAACATATATGGTACACCTATAAAAGAGGTTCAATTAAATAAAACATATATGGTACACCTATAAAAGAGGTTCAATTTTTTTATAAAAGTAATGGTTGATATCCAAATACAATATAAATCATTTTTAGTACAAAAGAAGTCAATTTTTTTATAAAATTAATGGTTGATATCCAAATACAATGTAAACCATTTTTAGTACATTATAAAATCCGTTTAATGTCACAATCATGAAACTATCAAAATATCATATAAGTATTACTGATTTCAATTATGCTAAATTTGAGAACAACTTAAAAAATTTGAAACATCCAACTTTTTATTTTTTATATTTTATTCATTTCTAATAACATATGAATATGACAATATAGTATCACATACTTTTTTATTAAAAAATTCGCATAACTATTTGTATCTCATCATAGTACGAATGTAAGTGTAACATATCTCAAAGGACCCAAACCCTCACTTTTTACGCAAAAATTGAACTTAAAAAGGAAAAAAAAAGAAAAAAAGAATGAAGCTATTTTTGGAAAAAGAAAAAAAAAAAAAAAAAGGAACAAGTATTAATTTTCAACGTATAATAACCAAAAATAAATAAAGCAATAGGATAATTCAAAAGCTGAAAGATTCCAGAATCAAACAGTGAAAATGAACACTTGGAAGTTGAATTTCTTTTTTATTTAATTTAAATCCTCTCATTTCTTCTTCTTTCTTTCGCTCTTCTTCTTCTTTCTTTCTGGGTCTGAATGCATCACCAAACAATAACCCTAAAATCTCCACTCTCTTACCATGTCTGTTCACAACACTCCGCCGTCTTACCCAAAAACCCTAGACTAACAAAGCTCCCTAATTTCCCGCCAATTTCAGCTAAGAACAGACCCAGTTCTTCCACGTTCTACTGCTACGGAATTGGAACCGGAATCTCTGCACCTAACCACGCTTCCGATTCTCAATACGGCAACTTACACGATTGGAAACTGAGGAGCACTGGAGTTAAAACTATTGATGTTGCCACCTTGGGTAATCTCTGCGTCGATATTGTTCTCAATGTTCCCAAATTGCCCCCGCCTTCCCGCGACGACCGCAAAGCTTATATGGACCACTTGGCCTCCTGTCCACCAGATAAGGTTTTTCATTCTTATTTTTTTTTTATTTTTTTTTCTAAATTTCAATACAATACTTAATAGCTGTTCGTATTTGAGTAATTGAATTCCAATATTGTATTTGGTTATTGTTTGTCTATAAAACCAGAGTTTTGCATTAGAAGTGCTTTATGAAAATCACTTTTTAGAGAATATGAGGTAAATAAAAGCTTCTCTAGAAACCATATTAAATGAAAAAAAGTCTGCCAAATTACTTGTCTATTGGATGTATTTCTGACTTAAAAAAGCACTTTTCCTGTAATTATTTGTCCAATAAGCTCTTCCAAACACACTTCAAGTGCTCGTATATAAGCTATTGTTATATGTTTTTGTGTATAGAAATACTGGGAAGCTGGTGGAAACTGTAATATGGCTATAGCAGCGGCAAGATTGGGACTTCGATGTATGAGTATTGGTCATGTAGGTGACGAAATTTATGGAAAGTTTCTAATAGATGTGCTTCGTGATGAGGGAATTGATGTAGTTGGAATGAGTGAAGATACTGATGTTGTTGACCGTTCTAGTGCCTCATATGAAACCCTTTTGTGCTGGGTTCTTGTGGACCCTTTGCAAAGACATGGCTTCTGCAGGTATAATTCAACTGAAATTTCTTAATTTTTTTGGTTTTTAAGATATTTCCTTGCAGTCTTGTACAAGTCATTTCTATTTGTTTAATGGTTTTTTACCACAATTGTTTTTAATATTATATTTGTTTTATCAGTCATATTATCTGCCTTTGTTTTTATCAGTCGAGCTGATTTTAGAAAGGAGCCTGCATTCAGCTGGATGAACGCACTATCGAGCGATGTAAAGATGGCGATTAAGCAGTCAAAAGTCCTGTTTGTTAATGGTTATGGTTTTGATGAGCTCTCCCCTAGTCTGATATTATCAGCTCAAGAGTATGCTGCTGAAGTTGGGACGTCAATATTTTTTGATCCTGGACCACGTGGAAAGAGTCTTTCTAGAGGAACGGCTGAAGAACAAAGAGCCCTTAGCCATTTGTTGAGGATGAGTGACGTTCTTCTTCTAACATCTGATGAGGTCTAACTTTATGCATTCTTAGTTGTATGAGACCACGTTTTGATATTATTGTTTTTCTTTTCCTTTTTTTGATCTTTTGGTGCTCTGGTTGTGGACATTTCTTTTTTTGTATTTCTTAGGAATGAGGTTGTTCCAAAGATGGTCTTTCTCAACCTTTCCTTTGTTAACAGCCTTTTGTTCCTCTTCCCATGGTCCATTAGATCTTGTTCACTACTGTAACCTGACCTTTTTGGGTCATTGTGGTTTCGTACATAGGCATGACAATTTGTATCTCCTGTCAAAGTTCCAGACTAACCTCACTCCAATTGCAGAGTGTTTTCCTTCTTTTAAACTAAGATGGGAAATGCAGGGATGCTATCCAGCAGTCCCTTAGGCAGTTAGGCTGCAAATGGGTTTAGACTGTCCTAACGCAACCTATCTTGGTATATTTTACATCAATTTCATTGATTTTATTATCCTAAATAAGTACTAAGGTATTAAGGCTTTCTTTTTCCTTATGCAGTGTCAGGGTATTTCTTTCTTCTTCTGCCTTTTTTTCTCTTTTCCTTTTTTCTTTTTTGGTTTGTGTCACCGATGCTTTGGCATTTTCATCTCTCTCTCTCTCTCTCTCTCTCTCTCTCTCTCTCTTGCTATCCACCATCTTGATACTCATTTCTTTAGTACATAAGCCATCCTTCATGTTGCTCAAGTGCTCTCCTCCCTACCAATCTCATTTTCAAATTCCTAAGTCTTATAGAATCACCTTTTTCTTCTTTATAAGAAAGTTTCACCTTCTTTGTAACAGTTAAACATCAGCTCTACCATGATCTCATGTTGACAGTTTTGACAAATTGGTTTTTGGATATTTATTGAATATTGTCTTTAACATTCTTGGTACATGCCTTCTTTTATTATGAAAGATTTATCTCTATCTCCCCTTGTTATTGTTAAAGAGTTTTTACAAACATAATTTTTGCAATATGTTTCAGGCTGAATCTTTGACTGGCATAAGATACCCAATTCTGGCAGGCCAGGAGTTACTCAGGAAGGGCCAGCGCACAAATTGGGTGATTGTTAAAATGGGTTCTAGGGGTTCAATTTTGATCACAAAGTCAAGCATATCATGTGCACCTGCATTCAAGGTATCAATTTATGCCAAATCTTCTTAAATTAAGATGCATAAAAACACTAATTTTACATTTTTAGTGTTTTCTCATGATTAACCTAAGTCATGTATTGTATTTTGCTTGCTCTTACAACATTGTGGACTTTCTGTGACAAAGTTTCGCTCAAAATTTTTCAAGATATTATGTGGAAGAAAACATTAATGAGAACCTATTTTCTGTTAATACCTTTTTGAAAGATATTTATTTATGAGCTCCCTCAAGTTCTACTGAATTAACCCGCATGAATTTCTTTTACATGTTTATATTTTGATAATACAACAATATGTTGATTTGTATTTGAAACATGACCAGGTGAATGTAACAGATACCGTTGGATGTGGAGATAGTTTTGTGGCTGCTGTTGCATTTGGTTTTATACACAATATGCCCACAGTTAGTACATTAACAATTGCAAATGCAGTAGGTGCTGCAACTGCCATGGGTTGTGGTGCTGGTAGAAATGTGGCGACCTTGGGCCAAGTAATAGAACTTATGAGGGCATCCAACCTCAATGAAGATGGGGAGTTGTGGGATGAACTACTTAATGAAGATGTGCATGCCCAGGAAATTACGTTTCTTTCAAAAATAGGCATAAATGGAAGCACAAACCACTTGAACCGTGTGGACCTGCAAAAGGTGGTTTCTGAATTGCTGCTTAAGCTTGAATATGCTTGGCTGGAGGGAAAAGTGTCATCTTGATGTGAGGGACAATAGGTTTTCAGTTACTAATTTGAATTTATTGGAACTAATTCATTCTATTGGTTCTACTGAGTTTGATTGCACTGGTAGTTCCACTCCTGTGGAAGGAGGCCTGATTTTTGACAATTAGCACATGTCAGGTTCTTCTCAATTTCTCTATTGGTGTCAGGATAAAATACACATTTAGAAAAGCTTCGATTCAAGTCAGAGTTTGCAAGATTGCTTAATTTGCCGTTTATATTTATTTTTAGTGAGCATTTATACTAATGGTTTGTCTGATGATATTATAGTGGCTATTGGAATGAAAGAGTTTCTTCTGAAGTAGGGATTGGGCAAAGGTTTTCATCATACCTATAACTATGTAAAGATGTTCATTTTTTGCACCATGTACATGAATGCTTATCAAGCAGGTAATTTACATGATCTGGTTCTGTTAGTATAATGAGATATTTATCAGATAGATAAAAATAAGTAGGGTGTCTTATCTGTTATTAAATTTTGAAATTTCATATGCTGTAGTTGGAGTGCCTTCTTAAAATTTTAAATCTTATACTGAAGCAATACTCGTTAGAAACAATCTTATTTTCTGGATGCATTAGAAGTATTCATAGAGAAAAGAAGAGTATGGATGAGGAACAAGCTGTCCAATTTATTTTAAATGATGCAGTGAGGATCATTTTCGTAGTACAGAGTCTAGTTTTTTTTTGAAAGACGAACTCGACTTTTACAAAATTCGTTGTAATGTTTAAAATCCAAATTATCTATATCTGAGTTGTCTGCAGATATAAGGTTTCAAGTTGTGTTGAAGGTAGGTTTGTGTGCTAAGATTTGATATGCAAGATCCATCAAGCAGAGGCCTATTATGAATGATAACATGTGTAATTATGTTGAATTTATGTCAGACAGCATTTGAGCATATGTGTGTAATCTTATATTTATAATTGTAGAAACACTTTAGAATGACCTCTTTACTTAATCTCTGATATATTGCATTTATCTAATTTTATATGCTCCTGACTCCTGGGAGATATTTAAGTAAAAAATACGCCTTAACGATTATTAGAAACTATCAAATGCCCCCTTGCTCAGGACTTTGTGATATGTGATATTTAATTAAATTGATCGAAATTGGGGGTTTCTGATTTTTTTTCTCAGAGGTTTTACGATATTTCTTTTAGAGGGGTATTTGTAAGGAGTGTTTGTGATATTTATAGGGATTTTTTAGAGGTTTTATGATATTTTTTAAAGGTTTTTTTTTTTTATATTGGTATTCTCATTATTTAATACTTTCCAAAATGGGTGAGGCTTTTTTGACTTAATTATCTCTCAGAGGATGAAATAAATCCTTAAAAAATTGTGATTATGCTAATTGTTCTGCATAATGTATGCCGGATTAAATTTCCTGGTAAATAAATAAATAATCTCAGCCAACGGCACCTTTTAAAGACATTTACCGAATACATCCTTTTGCGAAGCTTTAGTTTCCTGTTAAATAATTATTGGAGAACCCATGGGCAATCATGACTTTTAATGCCATTTTTAATTGTTGGAATTCTATTGAATGGAAAATGATATGATGTTGGAATACTAAATGAAGGTTGGAATGGAATATGATTCCATTGTGTATAAATGTATTTATCAAATGTGATATTAAAAGAATGGAATTAAATGTGTAATCAGGGTTTAATTTTTAGGGATTGCAAAATTAATTCTTATATATATATATAATTATAGATTTTGTAATATTATATAGCATGTTTTCTAATATTAAGCAAGGATATTAAGAGGAATACCTTCTAAAATCGACATTATTTAATGTTCATAAACACACTTTCACTTCACTTATAAAAACTTATTTAATTTAGCCTTAGTTCGTGATTGTTATAGCTTGTTCTTTGCTGATCAACTTTAGCAATAATTAACTTTTGATAGAAGTTTTTTCTACCCAATACAAAACCTCTATTACTTTGGTACTTGATTTCTCGTCAATTGTTGATCATAAAAAAGTTAGGGTTTCTTGTTTTTAACTGATTTCTGACTGATTTCAATAACGAATCTTTAATCGGTTACCACCATTTGATCCATCGGCCTTCACTCTACAAAATCTCTCTTACCCTAATTCTTGATAACTCATCGAACACCGACTGAGAAAGTGAAGTGTATTTTGGGTATTAACAAAATATAAACTTTGGGTGGGAAAGTAATATTTTGAAACCTTTTGGTGGAAAAAAGTCGTTTACTCTAAAATAGATCATGTAAGAAGTAGATTATTTCATAATCATTTTTTTAAATGTGTTTACCAAACAAGTTTTGGATGATTCTTTTAGAAATAAGTAATCTGGTAAAAGCTTTAGCAACCCCAAACTCACCCTAATTAACTTATCATGTAATTATCTTAAAGTTTATTTTCAATAAATGGTGACATAATGATAAAATAAAGATAAACTTTCACACAATCCTAATTTTCACCTTGGTCCAGACAAAATTGAAGGCAATAATACAGTGGAACTAGAATTTTCTTCCGGTTGATGACCAATTTCAGGTAACTTTCTTGGTGGCAATGGATTGAAGAAGTTATAATCCAGATTCTGCTCAACCTCATTAACACCTTCCGAGACCTTAACTACCATTGCCATGGAAGGTCTCTTGGTGAAATCACTTTGCAAACACCAAGCAGCAAGCTTCATGGTATTCACTACTTCTTCTCCATTTAATTGCATATTCTCATTGTATTTGTCAACCAAATCCATTAATTTTCCCTCCTCTGCCTTCTTCTTGAACAGGTTTAGCAAATGCATGTCTTCCTCAAGCAAAGAGCGATCAAGATTTTTGCGTCCGCACAAAATCTCCAATGTTACAACTCCAAAACTATAAACATCTACTTTTTCTGTGATTATTGAGTTAAGCCATTCCGGAGCCATGTAGCCTCGAGTTCCTCTCATCGTTGTCATAACCTCGTCCTCATTCCGGTCGATCAGTTTCGACAACCCGAAATCGGAAACTTTAGCATTGAAGCTGTCATCCAAGAGGATGTTTTGAGGCTTTATATCCAAGTGAACAATCTTCTGCCTGCAATCTTCATGGAGATAGGTTAGTCCTTTGGCTATGTGAAGGATGATCTTCTTTCTTTGCTGCCAATCAAGAATGGTATTATTGAAAATCCACCTATCCAGAGATCCATTCTTCATGTATTCATAAACAAGAAGCCTATGAGATTTCTCAGCACAAAATCCAATCAGTCCCACTAAATTTACATGTTGAATGCTTCCAATAATTTCCACCTCTGTTAAGAAAGATTTCTTGATTTGCCCAAGTCCTTCAAGAAGTTTCACTGCAACTTTCGTACCATCATTTAGAGTCCCCTCAAACACTGTCCCAAATCCTCCCTTGCCGAGGATCCTTGTGAATTTCTCCGTCACGTTTTCCAGTTCTTCATAAGAGAATCTTCTGGGCAATCCCGGGACTTGATCTAAATAATCTTCCTCAACATCATCAAAATTTTTCTTCCAAAAGAAGAAGACCAAGATTCCAGTTACCAAAACAAACAAACCAGCAGCTCCAAGGCTTAACCCCAATATTTTCGGGTCTTGTCTCGACTTCTTTCCACTTCCACCGGGACTAGGACTTGAGACATTCTGAATCTTCAAATATGCAGTAGAGTTATAATGAGTCTTTGATTTGTCATTATTCATCATCGAGAAGATTTCAGAGGGTAAATAACAATCTCCATAAGAAGAATTATCAGAATACCGAAAAAAAGCAGCTTTGCAGGAGCAATTCATTAGACATTCTTGTTTACATTTTTCTGAATCTATGTTTTCGCGGTCTGAGTTAAAGGTAAAGTAAGTAACATCTTTAAGCTCAATAAAACTGTGATGTGCTGAATATTCGCATGATATGGGAGTAATCTGAGAGCACCCAGCCGTTGACTGGCTATCATTTTCTTGCTTGAAATAGGTGGCTAGCCCATCCGACGTGGGACATCTACAAAATACATTAGAACAGATCCCATATTTTCCGCAAACCATAGGATAATTGCAGTCTCCTAAGTACCCTGTTAAGAGATCTGCCACTACTTTCCACTCACCATTTTCCCACTCATAAACATTTAAATGCCCATCAGGCCGAAGTCTCATGTACTGAGCTGATGATGCCTCAGGAATAGAATAAAAAATGTGATCAGGCTTATCACTTATCTCAGAGGAATTTAAGAACAAAGATAAGCTTCCATTCATAAATCTAACATAGCTTGTTTCAGTAACATTGAATGATAAACTATTTTGAACATAGACTTGTCGAGGATTAGACTCCACGAAAGAAAACAATCCTTCATTTGTTAAAGAAAGCGAAAACAAACCTTTAGTCCAATTTGTTAAAGAAACACTAGCCGCGAGTTTCCGGCCTAGCATCAACTTCTGGCCGGGAACCAATGAGTCGGTGGGATAATCAAAGGATTGCCAAACTGTTGAATTATTATTGTCAAAAAGAACGAGGTTGCCCGTTTCTGTCAAGTTCAAGCCCACAACAGATTTTCCACCCGTATTTGTTGACCATGCTATTTTCCCATCAGCATCGCGCAATACCAAGTCTCCATCAAAGGTTAGCTCTAAGGTTGCGTTGATTCGAACAGGATGATGGCCGTTAGCAGACCAAACAACCTGCGGGAATCCACTGGCAGGAAGAGTGATACCGGAACCACTATTGGTCTGAACAATGAAGATGGCGAAGAGGTAATTGGTGTCACAGTTTCCATTACAGTAGAAGCCACAGGCATATCTTGGGCCAAAGCTTCCCCTGAGAAGGATGGCTCTCACTGTCGATCCATCGGTAAAAGGTACCGAGTGAGGAGCTGATGGGCTATTTTTCCATAAAGTAGAGAGATTCGCTGTCGGATAATCAAAACTTTGTGCGTTAACTAAAGAAGAAAAAATTGAAAAAAGACTAAGAAGCAGAGAAATGAAACACCAATTGCAGCTGATATTCATGGCATATGATTACAAGATGATTGAGATCTAGAAAACAAATTGTGTAAGATTTGTTGTAACAAAGTGAAACTTCGAATGCAGGTCAATGGGGTTAATAAAAGTTACCAAAAATATCTCTAAACTTAAAAGGGGGAGCGACAATTTCCCACCCACGGTTTGGCAAAATGACACTTTCTCACCCATCAAGTTTCAAAATGACACTTTTTCATCCTTTGTCAGGTTCTATTAATATTGGACTAAAAGATAAAAATATCTTTAAATAGTTTATTATAAATTAAAATTTAGTTAAGTTAAAGCCTTTACTCAAGTATAAAGATACCTTTTTTCTTTTATTTATTTAATTAATTAGGAATATTAACTATTAAGATTTTCTATGTTAATTAATAAAAATGAAAAACATTATATTAGTAGATTATTGAATAATAGTGATGAGATATTTATGACATTATAAATAAATAAATATTTAGGTCATTTAATTTTAAACAATTTCATAACATTAGTCTTAACCATTTAGTTGGGGTTAGCTATTTTTTCTTTTTTGACTTTTTAATATCTTGCTTTTTGGCTAGTTCAAAAAAAAATTTATAAAGTCAAATATTTAAGGGTATTTTCGTCTTTTCAGTCAAATATTAACAGAAAACATAACAGATTTTGATAAAGGGTGGGAAAGTATCATTTTAAAACTTGATGGGTGGGAAAGTGTTATTTTGCCAAACCTTGGGTGGGAAAATGTTGTTTGTTCTCCCAACTTAAAACGAATGATTAATGAATCAAGTAGGTCAAGGGTTATTGTCAGTTGAGAAATATACAATATAAAAATGAGCAACACCTGTTGGTCCAAGCGAGCAGGATAACGGCAAAGCCAGAAAAAAAGATGAAGAGAAAGAAAGATAAATTAATGCAAAAGATAAGAGCCAACATTATTGAATAGGGGAAACGGTGGAACAAAAACATTGAACTACTTGATTGGAAAAATCCCTTTTTGTTGACTATAAATTAATGAATTTATTGTGTTGTCCTCGTTAGAAATGAAACAAGGGTAAATTGAAAAAGGGTTGGGTTCAAATGGTATCACTCTAAAATAAAAATTTATTTAATTTTAATAAAATGCAAAGACCTAACACCACTTTACCCAAATAAAATGGATAAATATTATAAAGTACCCTTATAGTTTTAAAATCTATCTAAAATTAAATTATAAATAGTTTTATCATAAACTATTCCCAAAAGCTAAGGTGGCAATTGGTAACTTATGTGATAGCATTGTATAGTGCTAATCACAAAATAACTCTGAATGAATAAAACTAAATTAAATATTTATAATATGTTTGTTTATAAATTTTTAATTTATGATTATAAGTATTCAGTGATTGTTTTAAAAAAGTTAAATATATGAAAATTAGTATTTTTATATAAATATTCTTATCAATGTTAAGTATGATGTATTTATAGTTTGAATTACATATCATGAATTTGACAAAATATAACAAAAATATTTTAATTTTACAAACAATAATGTTTTGCTTATAATGAGTCATACAAATAACAAAAATTACATAAAATTTATGTAAAATGACTACTCTGTCTTTTGTTTTTTGTCTGTTTGTATGACTGAGTTGTAAACACAACATTGCTCTTTTACAAAATAATAATTTGACTCATTAATTGTGTGTATCCACTATGTTTGCTATAATGAAAGTAAAATAAGAACGTAAATAAAATAAATTAATAATGATTGGGGTTTTAAGTGATTATAAATTAATAATGATTGAGGTTTTAAGAATTAAAAAATTATAATAATGGTATTCTTTTAGAAGTCATTTAAGACAAATAAACAAATATTTATGGGGCGTTTGGTTGGGGATAACGTGAGATTATTGAAGTTTGGGGTGGAAAAAAAAGATCGAAAACCAAACCGAACCGAACTGAAAACCGAGCCGAACCAAAAATCAGACCGAACCGAACCGAAAATTTGGTTTTTCTTAAATTTGGTTTGGTTTTCAGTTTAAAAAATTCATAAACTGATTAATCGATTTGGTTTTCGGTTTACAAGTTTTTTTAAACTAGTTAACTGAAACCGAATTCTAAAATTGCTTTCAAAAAATAAATAAACAAAAACCCTACATATTAATTATAATTAAACTTCCTAAATCCCACCATCACCTTTCTCTTTCATCTACCTTTTCCATCATTTTTAGTCTTCTCCTCTACTTTTCTCTTTCATCCTCTGCACTTTTCTCTTTCATCTTCATCTTTGCTCCTTCATTTCTTTTTTTCACTTTTCACTTTTTTTCGTCTTTTTCTCCATCTCTTCCCCTTCAGTTTTATGATATTATCTTTCTTTTCCGTCTTATCTTATCTTCTCTTTCTTTTCTTCTCTTCCATTTTTCTCTTTCTCTTTCGTCTTTTTCTCCAATATTCAAGTTTATTTGATTTATGAAGATGTAAGAAATTTGGATGGCTTAATTTGACTTCTTTGATGGAGAATAATATATATTCATTATTTATATCAAAACTTGCAGGTGAATACGTAAATTTCTCTTTGTTCTAGTAATGAATACTACATTTGGCTACAATTTTAGAGTAGAAGTTCTAGTGATTGTCAAAACTTTCTAAGTTATTCTGATTTTAAAAATTGGTTCAAAACTGGTTAACCGGTGAACCAAACCGTATATTCGATTCGGTTCATAACCAGTTTAATCATATAATCGATTCGGTTTTGGTTTAAGTTTTTTCTTGAACCAAAAAACCGGTTCGGTTTATAAACTACCTTATATGGTCCGGTTAACCAGAATATCCTATAAGATTTTTAAAGCACACAGTTTCAATGAAAAACACTACACCTTTTCATTGATCTTTGAATCAAATATATACAAGTGCAGGAGCTATTTTTGGTAACTGCATATACACGGAAACTAGAATTGTGCAAGAATGAAATTTACAATAAATGAAAATATTTACAGTAAATGAAAAACAGCTAGGATTCTATATTTGAGCTTGATTCGGTTGACTTGGCTGATTTGGAGCTTGATTCAATTTTCTGGCCATGATTGTTGCAATCCTCCTTAATACGCCCCCGCAAGATAGGGCTTCCATCGGCAAGGCCAATCTTAGATCGAAGAAGTTTAGTACGTTGCCTAGACAGTGGTTTGGTCAGCAAATCCGCAAGCTGGTCCTAAGTGTGAACATGTTTGACCTGAAGAGTCCCTTTTTGAACCAAGTCACAGACAAAATGAAGGTCTATTTGAATATGCTTCATGCGTCAGTGATAAACTGGATTAAAACTTAGATGAGTGGCACCAAGGTTTTCACATAATAGAGAAGGAGGATCTTTGAGGGGAAAACCAAGTTCATTGAGAAGACCAAGTAACCACATTGTTTCCGAGGCTACATTAGCTAATGATCTATATTCAGCTTCTGTTGAGGAGCGTGCAACAACCCTTTGTTTCTTTGAGCTCCAGGAGATTGGGTTGGTACCAAGAAAACTAATGTAGGCTGAGGTAGAGGAACGATCATCAACATTCCCAGCCCAATCAACATCGGAGTACGTCATGAGATGCCAATAAGTGTCCTTTTTTAGTTGAATGCCGTGAAAAATGGTTTGCTTCAGATATCTAAGTAACCTTTTTGATGCTGTCCAGTGTGTAATTGTTGGCTTGTGCATAAATTGAGACAACTTGTTAACGGCAAAAGATATATCAGGACGAGTAAGTGAAAGATATTGAAGACTCCTAATAACTCGTCGAAATTCAGTACTATCAAAAGAAGTTGTATCATCAACCAATTTTAAAGATGTACTAGTAGATAAAGGAGTTGAGACATCCTTAGCACCAACCATGTTGGTTTTGGACAGCAAGTCACAGATATATTTATGCTGGGACAGAAACAAACCTGCACGAGTTGGGATAACTTCCACACCCAAAAATTAGTGGAGAGGGCCCATATCTTTCAAAGAAAATCTAGCACCAAGTTGCTGAATGATAGAGTGCACAAAGTTGGAATCATTTCCAGTAAGCACAAGGTCATCCACATAGACCAAAAAATAACATATAATGGAACCACTCCGATAAATAAAGAGAGATGAATTAGCCTTAGAGTTATGAAAACCAAGGTGAAGAAGAGCATCCCGGAGAGTGGAGTACCATGCCCGAAGGGCCTGCCTAAGACCATAAATTGCTTTGCGTAATCTGCACACATAATTTGGTTTGGACATATCTTTGAACCTTGGAGGTTGACTCATATAGACATCCTCAGTAAGGTCCCCATGCAGAAATGCATTGTTCACATCCATTTGTCTTAAAATCCAGCCTTGCATAACAGCCACAGTAAGAACAGATCGAATAGTGGTAGGTTTTACAACGGGACTAAAAGTCTCTGTGTAATCAATCCCGGGTCTTTGATTATATCCTTTCGCAACAAGACGGGCTTTAAATCTATCTATCAAGCCATTAGCCTTTCGCTTAACTTGAAAGACCCACTTACAACCCACAGGATTAGAACCAACTGGAGGGGGAACTAAATCCCAAGTGCCATGTCTCATAAGAGCAGTGAGCTCTTCAGACATGGCGGCACGCCACTGGGGAGTGGATAAGGCCTGGGTCACACACGTTGGTTCAAGACACGGGAGAAGGGAGTGTTTGGTGACAACATTGAGTTGTTTGGGTCTGAAGATGTTGTTCATAGATCTGGTGGTCATGGAGTGTGTGCGTCGTGTGGAGGTGGGAAGTGTCTCAATGGGTTCAGAGTTGAAAACAGGGGAAAGGGAAGGGGACGATAAGTGAGGAGCAGATTCATAATGGGATTCAAGCACATTTAAAGGCAAAATAGATGTAGAATCCAATAGAGGTTGAGAATCTAGAAATCCATTAGAAGGGGATATACGGGTATTACCTGGAGGAGATGAGACCGCGGCGGAGACACTTTCCGAGACCACTGGGACGACGTGCGATGGAGCCCGTGAGGAGACTGCAAGTGCGAACGGAACGACGTCGTGTGGGTGTGGCACAGCAGGCGGAGAAGAAGACGCAGTCAAAGTGGAATAAAGGGAGGCTAGGGTTC